TAAAGAACCAAATATTCTCAGATAAACATTGACTAGATTTATATTTTTTCCTTAAACTAGTTGGCTAAACTATGACCATAGACATTTTAAGAGTATGTGTATATTATTTTTGTCTCATCCTTTATATATAACAGACCTAAACAGACCTTCTTCACTTGCTTAGGCTTTCTCATTTTTTTCTATCTATTTTGGAAAATATCTCCATTCCCATATCTTTTTAACATCTTTTACATTCTTATTTTCTTTTTTTTAGACATAACATCATCAAATAAATTTTCCTTCAGTTGTGAAATTTCTTTTCCTGGGATCCTAAGCAATACTTATTTCCTTTTAAGGTTCTAGTGTCAAGCCAATGTTTCATTTAAGTTTTACTGGGAACCAATGAATTTGTTGAGCTTACTTACTGAGATAACTGAGGAGTTGCTGAGGTGTATATATCACTTGAGGGTATGCACACTGGATAGACTTTACCTAGCATGGTCAAGCCTTCTCTTCCTAGCTTTCCGCAGATTGTATACTTTAGCCCTCCCCAAATCCAGGAGGCCATGTGTGATTATGGTCAAATTATATACAGTTGGCTAAGAAGAGTGGCTGGATACTCCAGTAAGGGTCCAGTGACACTGCTTGACCCTCCTTTAATGAATGAGCACAACCGTCAACAGCTGAATTGTGATGATGTTTAGTGATCAGGCTCAGCTGAAGTTGTGATGATAGTAGTTATTTCATGCAGAGCGTGGCTGTATAGCATCATTTTATTAAAAGGACCTGTAATTTAAAAGGATGTGGAGATATGACTCACATATGCGGGAAACATATGTCATTTGTTTTTCTGAGTCTGGTACTGGCCCATTTCTTATCTTGGCACCTAGACACCGGGGCTGACCTCTTGGCCCAGAATCCCCATTGCTTCCCGATCCTTTGCATCCAGACCAAGGCAGTTCCTCCCAGTAGTCCCCAGGAGTCCTTGGGGCCTCTTCCTGCTGCCACCTCCCTTTGCATCCCTGGGTGGCATAGCCACCAGCGTCCCGATACCAGCATCTTTGCTGGGCCCTGCTCCCAGGCCATGCTACCTGAGGGTAGCATCTTTCCTAGAGGGATCCAGACGAGAAAGCCTGAGAACATCTGCTCCTCATCTGACCTGGGCCTCTGTGGGAACTCCTGAAGACAAAAGCAATTTGGCCAATCCAATATAAAAACAAAAGAGAGAATCTGAAGCCTAGACCAACCAGCTTTTCATGCCCCCAAAGGAAAGCTCAAAGGCATGTAAAGTTTACAAAAAGAATCAAACCTAAACTCAGCAAAGGAAGGCTTGAATCTCACACAAGAATCAGAAACTACAAAAGAAATTCACATGTCAAAATCACAGAGAAAAAATAATAACATGAAAAGCCAAAATAATATATCCCCACCAAGTACTAATAGTCCTCTAGAGGAGTACAATGAGAACTCCCTAGAGATAACACAGGACATGGAGCTCAAAAGAACAATTATAAACATGATAAAAGAATTCAGTGAATTTAAAGAACACACAAACAGAGAAATCAGACCTGAAGGAAGATAGTGATAAACTTCTGCTGAAATGGAAAAAGGAAGTGAAACACTCCATAAGCCAATTAGAAACGACGGGAGAAAGCTTCACCAATAGGATGAATGAACTGGAAAACAGCATATCAAGACTGGAAGATAAAGCGGACAAACTAGACTACTCAAGCAAGGATTATGAAAAATTTAATCAAACACAAGAATGGAATATGCAGGAATTGTGTTACACCATAAAAGATCAAACTTATGAATCATAGGCATACAGGAAGGAGAAGAATCTCGAGATAATAGTATGGACCAGATCTTCAACAGAGTCGTAGAAGAAAATGTTCCAAAATTAAGAACGAAATGCCCTTACAAATACAAGAAGCATATAGAACATGAAATAGACAGGGCCAGAAAAGAAACTCTCCACAGCACATCATAATAAAAACACAAACATACAGAACGAAGAGACATTACTGAAAGCTGCAAAAGAAAAAAAACAAGTCACATAAAAAGGAAAACCCATCAAGATTACAGCTGACTTTTCAGTACAAATTATGAAAGCCAGAAGAGCCTGGACCAAAGCATTTCCAGTTCTAAATGACCACAGATGCCAACCCAGACATAACTACAGGAACCAGGATAATAAAAAGGAACCACGGAGGTAAAGGAAAAGAAAGAATCTGAAAGAGAAGAACAGTAGGAAACAGGCATTAATAAGGGAGATATGGATAAAAATT